GGACATGCTGCCATCTCGCAGTCTGCCTCTGGCTGGGATGCCCTGCTGAACATGGGATGTGTGCTGTGACATTTCAGGTGGCACCATCCAGCATAAGAATCACTCAGCACTTTCCATGACAGTTCTCATCACGTAGCCAACATACACAATGGATGCAGCTGAATAGCCCATGAGCATGTACACTGCAACAGATCCCCTCCTGCATGCCCTGCACCCTCTTCCCAAGGATGACAGCCATATTCCATATTCCCAGCACACAGGAGACCCTCCTGTCTTCTACTGCAAGACCATAAAAGCTCAGATGGATGTGGAGAGTTCACTCTTGTCCCTCTCCTGGGCCTCACCATGGGAAGGGGATAAAGTGCTCTGCTTTTAGGCTTTTTCTTCCTAAAATGGGAGTCTTTCAGCTCTGATCCAAGCACTGGAATCCTCCCCAGAGCTCCTGTTTTGGGACTAATGATGCCCAGAAGGGGAAAAGCAAGCCAAGTCCTCACTTGTCTTCCTGTGTCATCCTTTGCTGGATATCAGGTCCCTGTTTTCCCTGGCTGCCTTCCCCTGTATTTAAGCTTCCTCATCCTTGTTCTCCCCTCCATGGAGCTCCACTTGTTGTTTAACCCATTGGCTCCCTCTCCTTTGCTGTTTCTATTATTACTTTGTCTTGGGCTCTGGTTCCTCCACAATGTCTTCCTCATCTTCCCTTGTCCTGGAACAGCTGTGGGGATCAAACATGCCTTTTCCTCCCAAATCCTTACCCATGGCCTCTCCAACCCTTACACCTTAGAAGGTGGCAGCCCACAGGTATAGGATAGATGAGGTGTTTCTCCAGTGCTAATGCAGGTGGCCTGAGCTGGCAGCCCTGACATGGGCAATTCCACTTCAGCCTTTCAAGCCTACACCTGCTAATAGCGCTTATTAGTGCTGATTGGGCTGACTAATGAGACTGCTGCACACATCTGAGAGACAGCAAAACCCAGAGGGATGAGGAACGAAGAAATTGCCTTTGTACATAACTGTGTTGCTTTCTCTTTGCAGTTACCAAGATGGTGGTGGAAGAAGTTGCTTAGAGCCCAGAAGGAAGCTAATCTTGGCACAATACTGCATGTGTGGAGTCATGGGCTCCTTTCCTAGTGCAGAATTGGGGAATTTCAGCTTTTCTGGGCCCATGTGTTGGCAGTGTGACTGAGAGCTGCCTTTTCTGCACCCCTGCCTTGCTACAGGTTTCTTGCCTGTAGCAGGAAATGCCTTACAAAGGCAGAAGTGCTTTGGAACATGGGCTGTGCTGAATGCAACGCAGGTGAGACACACAGCAAGGAGAGGAAGAAACTGAGCTTTATTGCTGGTACCCATACCCTGGCATGCTGAAAGACTGCAAACATCTGTGTGTTGTGAATCAGGCAGGCAAGCTCATGGTTAGCAGACATCTCTTGTCGCAGGGATGGATGGGATCCCATGAAATACATGTGAGATTTTCCATGATCTTTCTTTGCTAGCCTCTGGGCAGCTAGAGGGGGTATTTCTAATTCACTTCATAGGATTTCAGATGCACAAGAGAACCACAGCACATCAAAGAGGAATGAATGCTGTTACTCCCTGAAAGGGCAAGCTTTTTACAGAGCTCTTTATTGCTGTTAAGCTTTTTAGAGAATGCTGTATTCTGTCTACTTGGTGGTGATAGTATGATATGCAATGCCCATCCATCCTTATTACTATCTCAGCCTCAGGAAATGATCCACATCCTCAAAGGCTGTTAAGTGCCTGATTTTACTGAGAATCATTGGGAATTTGGTATCTAAATCATTAAGTACTCTGCATAAAAGACTGCCCTGCCAAAGCTGATCTCTATGTGCTTTACCTTAGCAGTCTCTGCATGTATTTAGTGATGCATGGAGTTACTCACATTGCCCTTGGAGGATTCCCTATTGTATCGTGTGTGGCTATTCTCATCCCAGAAAGGGCAGGTTGGGGTAGGAACAAGACTATTGCAATCCCTGCTGGGGACTAAGAGGCAACCCAAAGAGATACCCTGAGCAGAGACATGGTGCAGCTCAAACGGTAAGAGACCATGAGGAAAAGCAGGGTATGGAAACAATATGCATTAAACAAAGAACACCAAAGTCAGTGAAAAAATAGGCTAGTTTGGGCATTATTAGGTCCTTTCCAGTTTTTGGAGACTGTCCTTGACAATGGACAAGGCCCTGCTTTGGAGCTGGTACAAAATGAAGGACTGGATAAGGCAATAGGCATTACCAAATAAAGAGAATTATCCAGTCTCAGGTGGCTTTTATAGGGAATGAATAATACACTGACAGTAAAGGGAATTCAGGCCACTATAGTTTAAGTTTACAGCAGAAAGAGCTTTAACTGAGACCCTGTTTAGGAACTTAAAAATCTAAGCAAATAACCTCAGAAGTTTTATCCTGACCTCAGATGAACAACTGCACTGAGAAAGATGTTGAGACATTTCTGTATATGGCAAAAAGCTGGTGATGGCAAAAGAAAGGGAGGTGTGAAGCTGTAGTTTGTTGGAACAAAGAAACTAAAATAAGCCAAGCACTGAGCTTGCACTTTGCCTTTTGTTGCTCTGAAGTAGTCTTGGCAAAAGACAGTGCTGTGTATGTGACACACATTTCCATTACTAACAGCTTGAATGGTGTGGAAAGGTCTGAGAGTGTGTTGGTGGGCATGAGTTGTTGGAGTTTGCAGGGAAGTGCAGACCTTTGAGGCATCAAATACTTTCTCCAAATGAGAGGCTGGTGGAAAACAGTGGCAGAAACAGCCTAGCTGAGAAGTCAGAGCCTAATCCATGTGTGCTGATGTGTTGTTTGATAGAGAGCTGCTAAGAAGGTGGCATTGGTTGTTAGGTACCTGTAACAGTGATTTACAGATGAATAAAGAAATAGATGGAGCAGAAGGAAAACCTGAGCACAGCTGGGCCCTGGGAAGGCTTACCATGTTCATGGCCATTTCTGGAATGCAAATGAATGAGCAGGGCAACAGTCTTACACCTCATGGGATAGTGCCACGGTGTTGGTGGCTCTCATCACAACCTCTTGGAAGGAAAATCCTCTTCAAAGGAATAGAACTCCCAGTAAAAGGCACTGAGTGCACTGTGTTGCTTAGGAAAGCCTCAGAGAGGTCACACACACCTAGCAAGTGCTGTTGCTGTGCCCCAGGATGATCAAGAGCATGAGTTAATGACTCAGTTGGAGCTGACAGTGTCATGCTGATGTTCTGGCTGAGACCTGCAGGGCCCTGCAGTAGCTGACTAAACCCTGCCCATTTTAGATTGCAGATACATAATTTTATTTCCAGTCCAGGACTCAGCTGCCCAAGCAGAAGTGAACACTGTGGGATACTGGGGGTAGGGTCATTAGAACAGTGCAGGACTTAGAACCACAGCTGTGTGCAGCAGGAGCTAGAGGTGTGGTGACACTCCACCGTGCCTACCATGGCACTAGGCACTGGCCTATTGGCAACTGAGTCCTTCCCTTGGGCAACTTTAGTGTGTAGTGAAGCTGCATGCATCAAAGTGTCTCCATGTGTAGGTGGTGTCTGGGCTCCTGTTACATCCCTGGAGATCTAGGCAACAAGGAGGCTAGGGAGGTCTGTGCTTCCATGAGCTGAATCGCTCTCATGGGCTCCAATGTCTGGAATGGGAACTGGGACACCCAGTGCTCATAGGGACAGCTATACTCATCTCTGGCTAGATCCCTCTATTGCAGTGATTTTGACTGTTCAGTTTGTGTTGCCTTTGGATTGGCCAGAGAAACAGATCAGGGAAATCTGTTGCAAGAAGCAAGATCTTGCTAACTCAGTTGCAAGAGGCAGTTTGAAGCATTGATTATGTGGTGTTCCTGTGAAATGGAGATGGTTGTTCCACAGTCAGACCTCAGGGAAACAGAGTACTTTAGGATGTCCTAGCTTGGACCAGCCATTCTGAATGGTAGCACAAATGAGTGCCAGGAAAAGCAGCTCACTAGACTTGAATTCAGAGTAGCCTCCCAGCTGGAGAAGCAATAGGCATGTGGGTGAGGAAACATGGAGCAGTAACAACAGTTATTGCTGCTCATGCTGCAGGTTTTGCTGTTTTTCCTAGGATAATTTTTTGTATTCACTTTGTTTAACAGGTACAATATAACCTAAAACATATACCCACCCTTGTGGGCAGAATTTTGTGTCAGACTCACACACCTTTTAAACATGGCTCTTAAATCATACTAGTGACTCACTTTGTGAATTAAAATCATGCTACTGACTCACTCTGTGAATTAAAGTCATTCTAGTGACTGGGATGAATTTCAGCCTAGATGCCTGAGATGGCTTCTTTTTCTGTTCTTGGAAGCATCAGCATCATTGAAGTGACTGAATGGATGGACTGATAGTGGGAATTAGGACAGCAAGCCCTGATTTTACACCATGCCAGGAAGAAATATCAAAGGAGAGTAGTATATAGCATCCTAGTCTGGTTCTGCTTTTCATCCTGGCTGTTCTTCAGGGGGAGACGGCAGAACAGCAGAGTTTGCTGGAAAGCATGCTCATTTTCACAGCTTTTTTTTGTATGCTCTGTTTTATGCTTTTTTTTTGCATGCAGTTTAGGAGATTTAGTAATCCAAATAAAGGTGGAACAAATCTTTAATCTCTCCCCAAGCCCAGACGGTGTGTGTCAAAACATAGGCACCCACATGTACTTTCTCCTTGTAGCTGGAATAGTGAGAGAAGATGTTACTGCTTGATTTCATCTCCTCTTCCCTGAGAAGATTCAGACTTTACCAGAAACAAATGAGTAGTTACTAGTGACAAGTGGGTTAGAATACTTTCTTTCCCACCCCACTGGCATCTAAGCTCTTTGTGGTGGATAGCTCTGGAAACATCCCTTGTATCCTTTACTCTTAAGCACATGGCCAAGGCCTAAGAGCTTTCATAGAAAACAGAGCTTTGCTGCTTTCTAAGTTATCCCAGGAGTGTTGCATTACAATCTCAAACACAAAAAGAAAACCACAGTGAAGAATTTGTTGCTAGCAAAATGTCTGTATTAAAATACAAAGAAAACTAGCCCATTTGGAACAGTAATTAATGGATTCTCTTTTGTATTGGTAGAAACATCACTGCAAGTTCCATTTTCCAAACAGACCACGATGTTCTTGAGAAATTAATCCCACCACTGTCATTCTGAACCTCAGCCTAAAAAACAAAGAGGTCAAAGACAATAGTGTTGTGCATCTTAGCAATATTCCAGCATCACTACACTGGCTTACTGTGTCCCATCAGCTGTGGGTTATATCTGGACACTGCTTGGTGATGGCAAGCTCACAGGGCTTCCTATTGTGTTTGAGAAGGCGATGATTGCACTGGGGCCCTTGGAGTTCTTGTTCATGCCCAGGATGTCCACACTGGTTCGCTCTGGTTCGGTTTTCCTAAAGATGTTTTTCATGGTCGACTGGAAGTTATTGGTGACAAAGCAGTAGACAATGGGGTCCATGCAGCTATTGAGGCTACTCAGAGTCACTGTCACATGGTAGACAAGGAGGCTGACACCATGGGGCATGTCCGGGTTGATGGAGATTGCTACCTGTCGCACGTGAAAAGGAGTGAAGCAGATCATGAAGATGATGAGCACAGTGATAAGGAGTTGCACAGCCCTCATTCTCCTCTCCCGACTCTGGTGCATGAGGCTGGGCTTGGACAGAGCACACATAATCCTGGTGGTGAAGAAGATGATGATGATGAGGGGGAAGAAGTACTCGCACACCATCAGGACCAGAATCTTGGAGAGGCAGCACTCAGCAAACTGTATTGCCATGGTCAGGATGGAGAAAGTCACTGCAGTGGCAAAGATCCAGATGAAGACACAGATCCCCTTGGCACACGTAGGGTTCCTCCATTTACGTGAGGCCTCCACTTGCACGATTGCCAGGTAGCGGTCAACGCAGATGCATGTCAAGAAGAGGATGCTGCAGTACATGTTGACAAAGTAGCCAAAGATATGAACCAAGGAACATTTGAGGCAGTCCCCTGCACTGTAGAACATGATGATCCGGACAGGCAAGGAAAAGCCCACCAAGAGATCAGTAACAATCAAGTTGATGGTGTAAATAACAGAGGTGGTTTTTGTCTTGGTACGGAAGCAGAAGACGTACAGCGCCAAGCTGTTCAGCACAACACCCACGAGGAAAATGATGGCATTGACCACCATCAGGGCAATCCACAGGCTGTAGAATTCTGTGTACAGTTCTGTGTCGGGGTGGATGAACTTGGAGAACAAGTAGATGCTGGAATTGGGTTGCTGGGTGGTGTTGATAGAGTCAAGGGCTGGCAGTTGGGTGGAGGAGGTCGGCATGGTCACTGCCTTCCCAGTGATCTGGAAGAGAAAAAACAGAGTAAATTGATGGGGATGTCAGCATTCCCGAAGACTCAAAATATTGACACCTAAGGACATTGTAACCAATGTATTTGTACATCCTCTTTAGTTCTATATATTGCTGCACTCTGAGCTTTCATCTGCTAATATGAGATACCAGTAATCAGTAGGAAAATACCTGGGTTTATAATTGCTGTCTTCCATTGGCTCCAGATGCATGTATTGGAGAAGACACACAATTCCCACTTCAAATTTCTCTTCCTCTTCCCTGTGCAAAAGTGGTTTTAAGGCCTGAGCAAGAACAGAGAGGTGGACTATGCCAAGGGAGCAAAGGAGAAGGGAAAGTTGGAGACCTACATGTGGTCATGTTTAATGGCCCAGAGAAACAGATGGGGTTGTTGAGTCCAGGCAGGGTGCATGGATGCTCATGGAGGCACAGGCCATTTTCTGCTGTGACAGGGAGGGTCAGGACAATATGAAGCACCTACCAACTCTTGCTTCCTGGACATGGTGCTTATTCTTTTGATCCTTCCTCTACTTAAGCAGCTTCTTCCCACCTGGAGGTTCTTCCTGCACCACAATGGGAGCATGGTAGTGCTGGCAGCCAGGAGACATTTACCCAGCCTATTGGTACAACCATAGCCCTGCCATTTGACTCCTAAAACATATTCCTTCCCTTGATTAGGTGACCCCAGTTACATGCAGCAGCATTTTGGGACAGACTTCCTCCTGGAGAAGAGAAGGCTGCGTGGAGACCACATAGCAGCCTTCCAGTATCTGAAGCGGGTCTACAAGGATGATGGGGAGGGACTCTTCATCAGGGACTGTAGTGATAGGACAAGGGGTGATGGGTTCAAGCTGAAACGGGGGAAGTTCAGGTTAGATACAAAGAAGAAGTTCTTTACTGTGAGGGTGGTGAGGCGCTGGAATGGGTTGCCCAAGGAAGTTGAGAAGGCTCCATCGCTGGCAGTGTTCATGATCAGGTTGGAGAGAGCCTTGGGTGACATGGTTTAGTGTGAGGTGTCCCTGCCCATGGCAGGAGGCTCGGAACTGAATGATCTTAAGGTCCTTTCCAACCCAAACCATTCTGTGATTCTATTAAATCAAAGGATGGCTGCATTTTCTAAGCAGGTTGTGTGGCATCTTCTGGAGATCTGCGCTCACAGCACTAGCAGCCAGGAGATTTCAAACCAAGGGCATCAGCCACTACTCCTGCCAGGCTTTGACAGTTTAATTTGCAAATCAGTCCTGACTTACACACTATTTTAAACTGATTTGTATATTAAAAAGATAAAAAAAAAAAGCCCAATATATACAGAAACTTGGCTGCTTTCAATAAAAATAAATGGTTGAAAAATGTCTGGAATATCTCAAAGCAGCTGAGCAGGATTTTGAGGTTAAAAAAAAATCAGCTTGAATCAGCAAAGAATGGTGCTGAAAGATGTGAGTTATGAGAGTTTGAAATCCCTGCTACCAGAGAGCCAAGTGAGGAAGGACTAGGAGACCTGGAGCTGCAAACACGTCTCCCAGTACTACAGGAATCACAGTGTGTCTCAATGAGGAAGGCCTGCATTGCTAAGGGAGTCTGGATATCCAGCTCCCCAAAGCGTGCCCCATCCTCTGGCAGCGGTCTTTCTGCCTGCGCTAATCCCTTCTGCTGCTTGTGGGGATCAGGAGGATGGACTGAAGGCGGCCCATTGCCTGTGAGATGCTTCAAGCTGTTGGTGGCCATGCACAAACCTGAGGAAGAAGCTATATAGGTCAGAAGTTTTCCAGTGAAAAGTGGCTCCTCAGGAGAGTTCCTGCTTGCCAAAAGCAAGTGTTTCGCAGGGCAGTCCTAACTGAATCCAGAGAGCATCACAGCAGCTCTGAGCCTGCCTGACAAGTGACAAAGCCTTTTCCTGTTCAGCCATCAAAAGCTTGCTTGTTGGGCTAACAAACGACAAATCCATGATAGGTGTAAATCTCAAGCTTTTGAACATCTCCACACCTCCTGCCAAACGTAGAGGGCTTCCAGCTTTCTGGATGAAGAGCTGGGGAACTGAGGTTTAGTTGAAGAGATTCCCAAGTCTCTGTGCATTTGCTGAACACAGCGTTCCTGATGTGTCTCACAAGTGCTGAGCAGAAGGGAAGGATCTCTTCCCAAGGCAACCCAGGAGGCTGTTAGCCTTCTTTCTCACAAGGGTGCATTGCTGGCCCATGTGCAACTTGGCATCCACCAGGACCCCCAAGTCACGTTTTCCAGCTGGCTAGCTTCAGGCTGTACTGGTGCATTCATCCATCCTTATAAAGTCTCTCCTTGGACCCTCTCCTGTCATTCAGTGTTCCCCTGAGCAGCATGGTCCCAAACTAGACACCTCACCAGTGATGAAGGGACGGAGTAATAACGCCCCTCTGTCTGCTGACCATGAACCCTAATGTAGCGCAGTGTGTACTTTGCCTTGTCTGCAGTAAGTGCACACCGTTTGCTGGCTCGTTTTCAGTTTAAGGTCCACCATAATACCCATGTCCTTTTCATTAGAGCAGTTCCCAGCCTGTACTGCTGAATGGGGTCACAGGATATGGCCAGGCAGGCTTCTATGGAGGACTGAGTTATCAATGTATGTATGCTTTCCTAGTCTTTCTCGTTTTGGAGAGGGCTGGGAATGAAGTGTGTTTGGTAAATGACCAGCACTCAAGATCAAGAGTCCTCATGGCATGCTACAGCCTAGTCATGGTTATTCTGTATGGTTCATTCAAGCCAGGTGAGCATGAAGCAGAACATTTTTGGGGTAGAAGCAGGGATTAAGACTGAGAATTCAGAAGACCAGGTGTGAAGCTCCCTATGGAAATCCCTGGAGAAGTGATTTTGCCACCATGATAGGGTTTAGGTTTGTTGGCCTGGAGGCTAATAATTGCTCTAGTGTCTTCTTGCCTCTCATCTTATCTACAGAAGTGGTTTGAAAGGAAAAGCTGTTAACTTGCAAGGATATTTCTAATCAAATGGCAATTTGTTCTGTTTAGGTAGCCACTCAAGCCCAAGGAGTTGAATTGTCCATTAGAATGGCTGATGCTCAACCCTAAAGCCCTTCCGAGAGCAAACCCCGGGACAGATTATGCTGCAGAACGTAATCCTGAAGCCTGTGGTCAGACCACCTGTAATAGCTGAAAGAACTGCTGGGCAAAGAGGATCAGTCCTAATTTCTGTCCACTTCTGCATATCTCCAGCAGCAACTGGACATTGGGATATCTTGTATTTCAGGAATGACCGGATTACCTCACCCTGCACTGAACTTGGTGGCAGCTGGAGTAGCACACATGTTCACATTATTTTGTCTGTGTCTGTGAGCCTGCAGACTCCTGGGGGAGAGTCTTGTCTCCTTACACTTTGTGCCAAGCACGCTCATGGGGAATAACAGGAAAAAACAGACCTAAGACTGGCTGGAGATGGAGGAGTTGCAAAGTCTGGCACCTGAGGAAGATGCACGGGGAGGATGCAGGATGCTGGCCCGTTTTCTAATGTTTTTCTGACATTCTCACCATCTGATCTTCTCTGTTTGTTTCACTCTTGAATTACAAAAACAAACGAGCAGATGCCTGGATCTGCTCCCGGATTCCTCTGTGCAGATGCTGTCAAGAGGAGCACTGCGGAAGTCACTGCACCAGTAGAAACTAAGGAATAAAGACTTTGTTGCCCCTCGAGTGCAGCGTGAGCTTGTGATATGAATGGACCAGATGACCTTTGAAGGTTCCTTCTGACCCAAACTGTTTTCTGATTCTATAGTTGAGCAAGTGGAGAAGACAAAATCACCCATCCCATCCTTTAGCATGCCCTAGAGAGTATTGAGTTGTGTATTTGTCTTCTTATTGTAATTCTAAGGCACTGGCCATTTGCTCTGATTTGGTATCTTTTTATTTGCTTGCTTCCTATGGGAAATTTATCTTCAGCTTCAGATCCATTGTCACAAACAACTGATATTCATCTTACATTTTTCCCTTTGGGTGAAGTCAGTAACTCAAAATGCATTCAAGTGTTCATCCTCACAATGCTATTGAGGTATGTAGGGCACTTTACAGACTAATAGAAAAGAATCCATGAGTACTCTCCATGCACAGGAATTAAAATCATCATCATACACAGTGTTCCTCCGAGCCCCATGTGCAGTGAAGTGAATTCCAGATATTGTAAACTGCTAAAAACCAACAGGTAACATCTTGTTTGCTAAATGGAATACGCAGAGGAGCTGAATTAGAGTTTGTGTCTTTTCCCAGTCCATCACTTCCCAGTCTGAACACAAAATCCATGGAACTACATGAAAGAAATCCCAAGAAATTGAACTAATTCTGAAGATTTCCTCACTGACAGGCTGCATCTTGGGCTGCAGTGGGACAAGTCTTCCTCTAATCAAATTGGTACTGACGGATGCTTGGGTGGACGGCCTTTTCCTTTCTTTTATGGGACTGCTGTCATCTCATGGCTCACAAGCAGAAGGGATGCAGAACAGGACTAACAAAGCAGCAGCATTCCTCTTAGTGCTTTTAATGAGGCAGAGCTGGACCAAATCCCTGGTTAACAGTTACTAAGTATTTTTCCATTGTGGGACTTGAGAAAGCTGCTTTGCCCCGTTTTGTGGCAGGGTGAACAAGGCACAAAAAGGCAGCATGACCTCGTGCCTGAGGAAAAGCAAGCATTCCCCAAGATTCCCAAGTCTGCCAAGTCCAAAAATGACCTTGAGCAGGTCTCTCTGCCATCAGAAATACTCATGCAGGTTTCAAAGTGAGTCACTTCAGGTCCCCATCACTGCAGAGGGGTGACACACAGCAGCCAGTGATGCACATGCCTAAATATTGGGCTTTTATATCCTATTACTTACATTGCAGATCCAGAAGTCCCCTGCGTGAAGGAAATGAACCCTGGTAACTTCAGTAAGTGGAGAAGACAAAATCACCCATCCCATCCCTTAGCATGCACTAGAGAGTATTGAGCTGTGTATGCATTTATCTAATTCTAAAGCACTTGC